GGGGGGGGGGGGGGGGGGGGGGGGGGGGAGGGGCGTACTCTTTTGTTTTGCATGCCTTAGCGGTTAGATCATTGACCACGCATCCTCGAGAGCACGGAGCATTGTTCCGACAGGCCCGATCACCGGTGGCCAATCGTTGGGTCGGGCGGCGGCGGAAAATCTGTGATGAGTCCCTTGGGGACTGCGTTTCTTCGCCCGGGCGACCTGTAGTCACTCACTGGACGGAGGATGTTTCGGGGTTAGCCCTGGGGTCAACCCCTTGCCGACGTCACAATGTCCTGACCAACTCATTCGCGACACACACGCCCGCACACGTCTCACCGTAACTTGGCTGTGTACATTTCCGAAATCTGCTGCTGCACCCAAAATGGTGGGTGGTGGACAGCTCTCGTTACGATCCCTCCCACGCCTCTGAGATACCCCGGCCGCATGAGATCTAGCAAACCGAGAGGCACCTCGCACGCGCGTGCGAGAATCTTCCTCCACGTGCGCTGCACTTTCATCACCGCGAGCCGCGTGCGGATCCTGTCGTACGTCTGGAAGCGTCTATCGATGTGCAGGTCGAAGAAGACGGTCTCGAGAGCTTTGAACTCGGCTTCTGTTTTCTGCACCACGTTTGTACCCTTCCCGGGCACCGTCTCGTACCCTGGCCCGGACTCGTGCCTGACATTTCTGATGTGGTAAAGAATCGCCAATAGCCTCCGATATGCCGCCAGGGGTCTTGTGCCGTCCATGGACGTGGTAGACAGAGCCGGGGTTGGCTCTAGCGCCCCATCCTCTCCGCTGCTGCCGCTCTCACGTTGTCTTGATTTGGATGACTGTGATCCAGTGGAAGAGTCTTGCGTGACCGTGTACGCCTGAAAGAGAAGAAGTTATTCGCATCGTTTTGGGTTTGGAGGACGGATATGGTCAGCTTAATGGTTTTATCTTCGCGAGATTGCGCGTCCGTTGGGTCTCGGGTTTCAAAAAGCACAGGCCTCTCCTCAAATAGCGGACTCTCCGATTGTATACTGTACTGTGAAAAGTGGGCATCATCCTCGACGGACGGTGGGGAGAGGTGACCCTTTCAAAAGGCACGCCTGCATCTGAGCCATGTTGTTGTTTGGTAGACAAGGAAGAAGTTTCTAGGGGTAACCGGAAAAGTCGACCGGCTGGTGGCGAGCCGATCCATAATGTGCGTGCTTGTATTGGTACGTCCGCCACGACACAAGTTCCACAAGTTCGAGTAACTTTAACATCTTTTTTTTTCCGCCACCGCTCTTGAAACAGGGTGGGCGGGGTTGGAACCCGGGTCTGTTGCCACCTAATTCCAAACCTTCGTCGCGCCGCCAACGTCAAGAGAGGGAATTGAGCTCCAAGGATGTTGGGGAGATGTGACATTGGGCAAGCGTCACACTACCCTTACCCTTCATAATGTGCACAAGGCATGAATACGAGTTGGATTGTAGCTATGACTGACATCGTTGAGCTCCCTCTCCACGGCTCTCTGGCACTTGACGAGCTGCTTCACGGCGCTCTCGGGCATCGTCTGCTTCACGGTGTCCATCGCAGGCTTCATGAGGTTGTAGTGGCGGTGCACGAGGGCGCCTAGGTTGCTCCTGGTGGCGGCGTCCATCTCTTCTCCGAGGTCGGCCCGGCTCGGCATGTGAACCGGCAGCTGGAGGGCGTTACTGAAGAATTGCCACCGGTCCGCGAACTTCAAGAACGCTTGGTAGTCCACCTCCCCGTTTGTGTCCTCGTGCGCGTCCCGGAACACGGCAACAACATCTGAGGTAGTCACCTCCGGCCACAGCGTTCGGGCGATCACCATGAACTGCGGCAGGTCCACCACGGCCTTGGTTTCGTTCAAGAGGCTGTTGTACACGGTTTCTGCGGCCGCTAGGGCGCTCTGATCCACCCTCCCGTCCCCGTAGATTGGTGTGCCGTCCGTGAGGACGCCCGTTGACGCCGTCTCGAACATGAGCCGTACCGCCGCCCGTCTGTTGACCTGCTCCTCCTTGAAGGAATGAAGCAGGATGCGCAGGAACAGGAACAAGTCGACACAGGTGGACGAAGGGTCTTGGTCTGTTAGGCGACCCTCGCAAGACACCGAGATGGCCTTCGTCGCGTCCAGCACCCTGCGCTTTTGGTCTTCCAGAGCCTTAACAAGAATGCGGTCAACCGTTTCCACGGCGTCGCTCGAACGCAACCAAACCACGTCTGTGCCGCTGGCCATCGGCTCAAGCTGCTCCTTCACGTCTCCTCTTCCATCTCCCCGCAGAGTCACACCCCCAGCCCCGGTCCCGATGGCGCTACCCGCTTTGCTGGCTGAACGTTCCACAACAGCCTGAGCCTCTTGGACCTGGCGCTGGAGCGTGTGCAGGTCGGTGCACGTAGCACTGACTCCCCATTGGTCTCGAAGCATAGACCCCGCGGTGCCCTCCACAATGGCCAAGCAGTACACGAGGAACGTTAAATAGTCCTCTCCGTTGCTCTCGTTCAGAGCGTGCCAGAAGAGAGTCGCCTCGGCGCTCTCACGTGCCAGCGACTTCACTCCGTAGTATAGTCCCCACCGGTCGTCATCCGCCTGTGCCACAAGCTTGGACCTAACGTTGGCGTTCGCAGCTGCCATTACGGCCCTTGGGGGCTCAAACCAAGCGTAGGTGAACTCGGGGAAGCGCACTCGGAGGTCCTGCTTGTACCGCAACACGCTGTCGTCCCAGATCTTTGCCCTCAGGATGGCTCGCATTACCGTCCGTACCCACGCCACCGTCCTCGGCGGTCTGTATCCCTTGAGGTTGGGCAGGAGCAAGCGGTACCCGTGGCACTGCAGCCGAGTCTGTCCCTTCAGTTGCCGCTCTTTCTCCAGCGCATCGGCAATATTGCTGAGGTCATCCAAAGCCTTGCGGCACTTTATGCATAACACGGAAGAGCCTACTTCTCGTTCGTCATCGTCATCGTCATCGCTTCCTGCTCTTCCCGATTCGCCGCCGCTTTCCTTCGAGTTTTCGTTCGAGCCCCCAGTTCCGCTCGAACCACTGTTGGTCTCTTTGTGGCGACGTTTGTTTCTGTTCTTGATAGACGCCTTCTCGCCTTTGGGATGGTCTCCCTCTCGCTCCTCGCCTTCTCCATCATCTTCATCGCCTCCGACTACTCTGTCGGTTCCCGCCTTCAAGGTTTCGATCTCGGTGAGACGTTTGGCCTCGTTGTCCATGAGCTCCTTTACAAGCGATTGCCGCCGTTCCATTTCCTCCTTGATCTTGACCGCCTCTAACTTCGTCTTTTGTAGTTCTAGCTTCACCTGCTCCATCTCTGCCTCCGTTTCCAGGTGTTTCTCTTTTAATCTCCGGAGTTCCTGCATTTCTTCTCTCCGGGACGCCAACTCCTGCTCAAGGGATCTGCACCGGTCCTTGAGGTCTACCTCGGTCATTGCTTTACCATCCGCCTGCATTGTCTTGAAGATACCATTCAGGGTACGAAGCGTGTCTCCCATCCTATCCACGTGCGCCTTCGCCTCTCTCTTAGCCCGCGCCTGCTCCTGTTCCTCGAAACCTCGGCTGTCATGGATGGCCTTGATTTTGGCCTCGTAATCTGCGCACGTTTTCTCGAGCTTTTTGGTCCAATCCTCCTCCGCCTGCTTTCTCTCCCTCCGCCCCTCTAGCACACTCGCCACGCACCTGTCCAGCGTCCACAAGCAGTCGCTGTACAGTCCGTGCAGGCGGTTGAACGTCGATGCGTTTCGCTGGCGCAGTTCCTGGAGCAGCCGCCCGTGTGGCAGGCACATAACGGTGACCTGGTCGGCGAGCTCCCCGCACGTTAGGTCTAGCCACTTTTGTTCGAAAAGACAGCTCCCGAGAATACGCTTGGCAGCAGCCCAGTCGTCGGGGCCGATACCCACCGCACGCTTGACCCATTCGCCTGTCAAATCTAGCGAAGGCCCTCCCAAATCTTGCACAGAATCTTCAATGGTCGACTCCGACAGCGGGTTCCCTCCACCCGTGTCTTGCCAACGTCCCTGCTGCGACCCCCCACCGCTGCCACCCCCTGCCCTCCCTGCACTACCTACACATCGATCCACGATTTCAACCGCCTCTACCACAGCCTGTCGAGCGTCGAAAGTTCTGCTGACCTCCTGCTGCAAGCCGTGCATATCATTTTGCATTGGACTCATGAAAGCCCCGTGGCGACCTTCCGCCCGACCCCCGACATGGTTGTCCATGACCGCCATGGCGGCCTCGAACTCTCGAACAAGACTAGAAGCATCGCCCCTAGAAACAGGCGTCTCCCGCACCGATTTCGCCCTGGCGATAAACTGCCAGGTTCCCTGGCTAGCTCTCACCGCCGAATAGTTGTTTCTACGGGTGGCAATCGGTACCCCTCCCTCCGTTGACGACCTCCGCCTGCCGGCCCCGCCGGCCCCACCAGCTCGATGACCTCCTACGCAGGGAGGCTCGCCGCCTGCGGTAGCCAAGCCCCTTCGTTTCATGCCTGCGGTGACCGTGAAAGGGCGGCCTGCCGCTGCCGTTGCCGATCGATGTATCCCCGGCAGACCTGCAGTGGGGTCTGCTCCCGCGGCGATGGGATCGCCACCTTTCGACGTAGGATTAGAGGTTGGGGAGTGGACTGGCTCGGTCCGATCCCTTCTCGCTCGTTCTTGGCCCCAAACGAAAAGCTCTGCCGGCGGTCGATTTTCCTCTGGGTCCAGGCCTGTTTGAACAAATTATACCCACAGCCGTTTGCCACTGACGCTGTCATCCACTGGCAATAATTTCCCCCCTACAAAACTGTCTTTAACTAAAGTTCCTGTAAGTGAAAATGCTCACATGTTATCTTCAACAGCTTCGGACATGAGTTTGTACAACACCCGGCGCCGACATATGCGCCGCGGCAAGAGCTACGACGTATTCTTGACCTACAAAAACTCTTGCTTTGTCACGGAGAAGGAGCGCTGCGAACTTCACGCCCCTCATCTGGTGGGAAGCAAGGGGGCAATACATGAGCGCATCGCCATGATCCCAAGGAGTCAATGCGCATCCCATCAAACGACCCGCCGATGCATTCTTATGCATATTCTGTTTACAGTGGTCTACAGGTGTGGTGTTTGTAATGGAGACTACATGAACATAGGACACGCACTGCAAGCCTGAAAGCTCGGGTACATTTACGTTCCTCCCTTGTTTGCGCTAACACAGGCCGTACAAGAACATCTGCACCAATGTGAGCGGCGGGTTCATGGCCGCATTTAGACTCACCTTGGAAACTGTCCGGTACGCCGAGACCCCCAGGGAAAAAGTCGTCATATTGCTCTGTCGTGTTGTTGGCGTCCGGCTGCTGGATCACCTGGTGCAGCGCAGCAATGTTGAACTTCCCGAGGCCGACCGTCGAGAGTCCCGGAGTGGAGGCTGAGCTTCGCATCGAAGTACATGTGCCGATTCTCGACGACGCGGTCATCGGAGTAGACGTATCATCCGCACGCGGCCTATTGTTGTTACAGCCACGTGGGACGTTAGCCCACTGTCGTAGTTGCCCTGCACTTGCCGTTGCAGGAGACGGTATCTTTGAAGAAGAGGCACTGTGCGGGGTCTTCGGTTGCTGCCATGATGGCACTGCATCATTCCAGTTAGGGTCCATGTACCGTCAACCTAAGCTGTGTTTTTGCACTCCTTTCTTTCGTTTGAGGAACTGAGCATAACCCATCCACGTCCCGTCTCGGGGAGGGGTCCATGAGCCTTCACTACTACTACCAGGACCTCAACACATCCCGCTGATTGTGCGCTCGATCGGGGGTCTTTTCTTCGGTGGTTACTTGTACTCTCGTGAAACAAGGTGCTTTCGGGAGGCGGGACTGCACGACACACGCGGTCGGCCCGCCGCAACACCGAAGAGGAACGAACGTTACATCTGGCGATCATGCGTCAGCTACTTGGTGGTGGTTGCGCGTAGCAGCAGCTGCATAATGGCGCTGTGAGCTAACAAGTCTTGGTCTCTCTGTCTAACAGTATTTCACGAGCCCCGTTGATGCTCTCGGTTTTGGTTTGGTGGTGTCACGGCCTGCTTTGGGGTAGTGAGGAAGGGAGGAATGATGGGTATGAAAAAAAAAGAAGGAACGCACGTCATCATGACGTCACTTGGCTCCGAGCTCCGAGGTTACGCCGCATTTTCTCTACGCTCGGTATCTGTCTTGCACTGCCCACGCCCCCTCTTCCTCCTCAGTCGTCTTGCTCACTTCCGTCCAGACGAATCCCGACCGCAGAGATGATGGATCGATTGAGTTTCAGCATTTTCGCCATTGCCCAGTTCGTCACACATGCTTTTGTCCCCGCTACATTCCCGCATTTGGGTGTTCGGCGTGCAACCGGACTGCGCATGTGTTCCTCTCCTGCTGACGAGGTGTGTACAAGTTGTACTGCTGTAGTTGTGCAGCGCGCATCGATGCGGGTCAACTTCCGTTTCTATCTGCCCCATGTTTTGCTAGAGAGTACGTGTTAGGTTTTGCCCTGTCTTTGCCGCTACTCCAGGGAAGTAAATAAGGCAATATATTCCGCGACCTGTACAACGTTAGTGCATCAGGCAGCATCATGCGCACGCAAATCATTTCACCGTTTCAAGAGTCAGTAGCTTCAGCATGGTTGTCGATTGGTAACAGACCATACGCTGTGCCAATCTATGCTCGTTCCTGCGACCGAGTGCTGTTAGAGGCTATGGAATCCCCCAAATATGTAATTTAATGCTTGCATTCTGTCGGCGGACTGCTAGATTTGTGTTGGATATCGACTGCCGTATACGACGTGAGATACTGCACCCCCTGGACTGATTTTCAAAGCTCGATTTCTCCACGACGAAGAGGATGCATAAACGAAACGGTGCGTTTTCGGAGAGCTCTCGACCAGACGACTTCAACGCCGCTTTTTCGACGATGCGACTCTTTCTGCTTTCGATAAATCGAGCTTTGAAAAGCGGTCCAGGGGGTGTGTTGTCTTGTGTCGTATGAAATGTATCCGTATGGACATAGACTTATTCTTTCCTGTGTAACCGCGATGCGTTTGTAGAAGTAGCGTGGTTAGTTGTCATTTTCAATAACTGCGGATGGATGAAAGGTGAATATCGTGCAGCACTACTTAAGCACATGGAACCTCGAGCCGAATTAGCTAGCAGGACGCTACTTACGATCATCGCTTTTACTCCAAAAGAGCTGAGAGGGAAAAGGAGAACAGCGGAACCGTTACTTTGAACAGCACGCACCCGGTAAACCCTCCACTGGCACCTGTTCGTGACCATACGCCGCAAATGTTCTTCGGATGAAAACGTTTGTGTGTGGCGGAGCATGCCCACCACGTAATTGCCGACGAGGGTTGGAAAACTGTCGCTCGCTGCGTACCAAATTTTCTTACTGCCACGTTTTTGGGATGCTTTACCGGCAGCCCGAAGTTGGTAGCTATTGTCAAAAATGTAGATAGATCATGAACAAAGACCGTGGTACCATCACCATGCTCATGATGGGTTAAAGTACGCTCATCGAGAACCCGACTCCTGGGTAGTCCTGGGGTCAAGGTGCTTACAGAGCGATCGCTAAACCGTCTCCAGACATTCATGCCGAGCAATACATCATGTAGCATGTACCACTTCCAGGAGGACTTCTTTGCATCCAAATTTCACCAGGAAGGCGCAGCATCTCACACCAAACGGATCCTTTGTGCACAGATTCAAGATGTCAGCAGAGTTTATATGCAGGTTAATTTGTTGCGCATGGAATCGAGTTTTTCCGTACTGCACACGACTCACCGAAGATATGTTCGATTGACATCCTCGCACAACAACGGTGCATGTTTGCGCCAGGGAATATCACGGGGAGAAGTATTACGCAGCGTAGCTGCAGCCTGTGTGACCGGCAGTACGGCTTGGAGTACTACGGCTGTCGGGGTATCAGCCAAGGCACCTGCACCTGTCATGAAGCTTCCGGACGGTGAGGAACGGGCGTTGTTGATTGGCTGAAAACGAGGTTTGTCTCCACGCCAGAGAGAAACGAAGTCAGGCCATATAAATCAAATGTTGTCACATTTGACGGCATACTCTGCGATCTGATTGATCCAACAAGGAGGTTTGGCGTTGTAGATAAATTTGTCTTTACGGAAGCTTGGCTCACGAGAACGGGAGAAAGCATCAACTGGATATGCTGTAGGGTGCGCTCTGCAATCATGTTGAGAGTGGCATCTACCAATATTCAGATACGAGACACGCAGCCAAGCCAGCCACGTGAAGTCTTCGGCGTCGCGTGCGGAAAGTTCAAGAATGTCTCAGGTTTGATGAACTATCGGGATTGGCGTATTTCTATTCGACTCAAACGATCAGCGCAAGGGTGCAGTATGCACCAATGCTTTTAAGTATTGTGCGGCTCCCTCTAGTCCTTACCCCTTGCCTTAACGCGTGGTTTGTTGCCTTCTGTGGAGCAGATGACAGTGTTAAGCCGGCACTGCGTAGCGGAGGAGAAGGAAGCATCCCACCCTTCACGGTCCTTCCATCCGGGTAATCTCAAAATTGCGTTTAGGTTCATCAAATGTTTTCGGACACACGGAGTTGTTCACCGCGCTTCCCATGAAGTCGAAATGGATGTGATTCCGTGTCTTTTCCTCCTTGCGATAGCCGCGCAACCGTCCGTGCTTGAAACTGGGAGTTCACCTCTGATACGCGCTCGTGATGACTGAAGGCTCTTTTTGCTTGCTCTGTGCGTCAGCGTACATTAGTGGACAATGGGATTGTTTCAAACCCTCCTTGTTCCACGCCGCTCGCGGTCATTTGCCCAGGGTCCAGATTACCGACATTGTTGCCGGTGATGGACCTGTTGCCGACGCCGGCAAGGGTGTCACCCTGAAGTGGGTCATGCGCCGCTCGAACGGTTACTACGTCAGTTCTTCCGAGGAGGGAGGAGGCGAGCCTTTCATCTACAGGGTGAGCGAGACGCCTTTTAGGCAGAAGGCTGAGATTGACAAGCAACACACCGTGTTGTCCTTGGTATTGTTCAGAGTTGCGGTTGAAAGTTGGGATGGGGACACAATGTCGGTGAACCTTTGTAGGGAAGGGTGATGTTCCTAATCCCACTGTTTGTGTTTGCAAGCGTTTGAGAATTGTTCAAGGGTGAGTGGGATTTGCATTGTTGTTGTTGTTGTCTTCACATTAAAAACCATCCCGGTCTCTTTATCCAGTACCTCCTTCTGTCTCAATCTCTCCGTACTAATCCAGCACTTGACTCGGTCAATTTCCGTGGTCACAGGCTAACGTACCTAGAAAAGGTATACCAAAATAAAATGGACCCCAAGGGTTAGCAGAGCGATAAAATACAAGAAAACAAAAGAATCAGAAACAAATAAATAAATAAATAGTGGAACGTGCGCACCACCAGCCTGGGGGGTAGCCTTCCGGAAGGACCCCAAGGGTCA